ATTCTCGGGGTGCCGGGGCGATGACGTCACGACGCGGCGGCGATGACGTCACGGCGCGGTCTCGTCTTCCACCGGCAGATCTCGCGAGAGCGGCCCCGAGGGGATGGAGCCCGACGGGGTCATCGAGGTCAGGAACTGGGAGGGACTGGGAGGGGTTGGAGTTAAACTGGGATGGACTGGGGAGGGTTAAAATCGAACTGGGAGGGACTGGGGAGGGTTAAAATCCAACTGGGATGGACTGGGAGGGGTTGGAGTTAAACTGGGAGGGGTTAAAATCAAACTGGGAGGGACTGGGAAAGGCCCAGGCTCTTACTGGGATGGAGGCCGGGCTTTACTGGAGGGACTGGGATGGACTGGGAGGGGTTAAAATCAAACTGGGATGGACTGGGAGGGGTTTTAGTTGAACTGGGATGAACTGGGAGGGGTTAAAGCCAAACTGGGATGGACTGGGAGGGATCAGAGCCAAACTGGGATGAACTGGGAGCCTGGCACGGGGTGGTGAACACATCCCTTACTGGTTTTTACTGGTTTTGAGTGGATTCTTACTGGTTTTGACTGGTTTTGAATGGTTTTTTTATTGTTTTTTTTACTGGTTTTTAATGGTTTTGTGTTGTTTTTTTACTGGTTTTTACTGGTTTTGATTTTTTTTTACTGGTTTTGAATGGCTCTGAATGGTTTTTTACTGGTTTTGACTGGTTTTTGATTGGTTTTTTACTGGTTTTGACTGGTTTTTGATTGGTTTGTTACTGGTTTTGAATGGTTTTTTGACTGGTTTCTTACTGGTTTTTTACTTTTTTTTTACTGGTTTTTTACTGGTTTTGAGTGGATTTTTACTGGTTTTGAGTGGGTTTTGACTGGTTTTGGCTTTTTTTACTGGTTTTGACTGGTTTTGACTTTTCTCAGTTTTTAACTTTTTTTTTGCTTTTTTTGACTGGTTTTTTACTGTTTTTTTACTGGTTTTTTACTGGTTTTTGCTGGTTTTGAGTGGATTTTCACTGGTTTTTGATTGGTTTTGACTGGTTTTGAATGGTTTTGACTGGTTTTGAATGGTTTTTACTGGTTTTGAATGGTTTTGAGCAGTTTTTTACTGGTTTTGACTGGTTTTTGAATGTTTTTACTGGTTTTGAATGGGTTTGAATGGCTTTGGGCTTTGATTGTTTTTTTACTGGTTTTGAATTTTTTTTACTGGTTTTGAATGGTTTTTACTGGTTTTGAATGGTTTTTGACTGGTTTTGAATGGTTTTTTACTGGTTTTTTACTGGTTTTGAATGGTTTTGAATGGTTTTTGAATGTTTTGACTGGCTCTTTACTGGTTTTGAATGGGTTTTTACTGGTTTTTACTGGTTCTTGACTGGTTTTGACTTTTTTTGCTGGTTTTGAATGGTTTTGAATGGTTCTTTACTGGTTTTGAATGGTTTTGACTGGTTTTTTTTTTTACTGGTTTTGACTGGTTTGGAGTGGATCTTTACTGGTTCTTGACTGGTTTTTTACTGGTTTTGACTGGTTTTGAATGGTTTTGAGTAGGTTTTTACTGGTTTTGAATGGTCTTGAATGGTTTTCACTGGATTTTTACTGGTTTTTTTTACTGGTTTTGAATGGTTTTGTGTTCCTTTCTACTGGTTTTGACTGGTTTTGAGTGGATTTTGAATGGTTTTTACTGTTTTTTACTGGTTCTTGACTGGTTTTGAATGGTTTTGACTGGTTTTACTGGTTTTGACTGGTTTTGAGTGGATCTTTATTGTTTTTTTACTGGTTTTGACTGGTTTTGACTGGTTTTGAGTGGATTTTTACTGGTTTTGACTGGTTTTGAATGGTCTTGAATGGTTTTGAGTGGGTTTTTTTACTGTTTTTTTACTGGTTTTGAATGGTTTGGAGTGGATTTTTACTGGTTTTGAATGGTTTTGACTGTTTTTACTGGTTTTGAATGGTTTTGAATGGTTTGGAGTGGATTTTGACTGGTTCTTTACTGGTTTTGACTGGTTTTGACTGTTTTTCTTACTGGTTTTGACTGGTTTGGAGTGGATTTTTACTAATTTTGACTGGTTTTGAGTGGATCTTGACTGGTTTTGACTGGTTTTTTTACTGGTTTTGACTGGTTTTGAGTGGCTCTTTACCGGTTTTGAATACTTTTGAGTGGCTCTTTACTGGTTTTGACTGGTTCTGACTGGTTTCCAGTGGCTCTTTACTGGTTCTGACTGTTTTTTTACTGGTTCTGACTGTTTTTTTACTGGTTCTGACTGGTTTTTTCCTGGTTCTGACTGGTTTTTCCTGGTTCTGACTGGTTTTTTCCTGGTTCTGACTGGTTTTTT